CACACACGCACACACACACGCACACACACACGCACACACACACACACACGCACACACACACACACATACACACACACACATACACACACACACACACACACACACACACACACACACACACACACACACACACACACACACACACACACACATACATATGCGCACATTATGGATAACAACAATGAGTAGGACTTCATCAAGTTAGCCAATCATACTCATTGTTCACCAAAAACAATTTATAGAATAATGGAATTACTTGTGTATTTGCTCTTACTTTGAAACGAGCGGGAAGACCGACTATACGGTAAGTAAACACCCCGCGAACGGTTTCTGCCCTGCCGCCGTTTTCGTTTGCTTCTGGGTCGGTTGCCGTTTTCTCTCCAGCGCTGGAGTGCTTATTCTGGAAGTGCAAGGGTTGCATTCGCTGCCGTTTATATTCACTTCAAAATGCTATTGTTTAGAGGTACTGAAAAACCGCCACTTATTATGGCCGAGATTTATCACTTTCAAACTAGAAATTTCAGAACTGGGAAGTAAGAGGACCTGACCTACACGTATCATGCTGCATCAAACAGATATAACCATGGAATGTGGGACCCTCCCGACAGCTGAAACACGCCCTTTTTTTTTTTTTTTTTGGTTGGAAGTACACTATTAAGGCATACAACCACAGTCGTAACTGTATCCATGGAGGACCTAACTACTAACGAGTCTAGCAGTTATTCCCCCATCCCATCCTTTATGGCGGCTTAAAACGCGAGCGCGGATCTTCCCAGATCGAACGGAAGTCCTCCTTCCACGTCAACTCCTTCTCTCCAACAAAGACATTGCTGAGGGCCCTTGCCTCGTCCGGCGCCAGTTGTCCCCAATCACCGCCCCTCGCCACGTTTGTCCTGTGGCGCTGCTTGCTCCTCCACTTGCTGTAGATTCTCACATGCCGAACAAAATTCGCCATTACCTTCCTAATCTCCCTTTTGTATTGAAAACTTTCCTGCCTGAAGACCGCCCCGCATCTCTCCAGCCATAGCTGGTGAACCGTGATTGCAACCAGCGTCAGCTCTGGGAAGCTCGATTTCGTGCTGGCACCTTAGCACCAAAAATTTTCAGCGCCGCCTGTAGCTTCGTGACAACTCCTCCCACCTCCCGACACGTCATCAGGCAGTGGTCCACTGTCTCGTCAGCACCACAGTGTGGACAGCGCACCAGGTCACCCAGGAAGGGGAGTCTTGCCCCCACCTGCAGATTCCTGCTGTGGAGGCGAAGAAGCACCTCCCTTGCCCTGGAGGGAACCACCATCGAGTCCCGTGCAGTGATGACTCTCGCCCAGTTGACAGCCCCTCCGTATTCCTCCTCCCAGCTGATCTACTGCTTCGGCTTCTCGGCTGACACCCCAATCGCTTCTCTTAGGGTTTTCAGTGACAGCAGCTCTCCACCTTTGCAAAGCGCCGACTCTCGCAGTCTTGTGAGATGGTGTCCCAACGGCCCCAGTACCTTCCCGTCCGCCTCTTTGATAGGCGTAACCCACGCCGCACTGACCGCAAAAGGACTGGCATATGGCGCCGGAGTAATCTGCCCCCGCACCACCTCCACTCGTTTCACCACCAATCTCTCCCCGTCTGTCCTCAAAATTCTCCAGTAGTTCCTCTGCTTTGCTCTGTCCGCACCTAAGCATATCAGGTTCGTTGCTTCGGCAATTTCCTCCATTGTCCGCTTGGCCAGCAGTCTGTTACGCCACTCCACCAGTGCTGCCTGAAAAGCTTTAAGCGCCCATCTCGCCATAGTTTTGCCCCCCATTTCTCTGCTGAGTCTCTGTATATCCTTCACCACGCTCGTCCCATCTGGATTTGTGATGAGCAGATCCCCAAGCCGCATCCCCTTCATGCACTCCGACCCACGTTGCGCGCCGAACGGGCTCCTTCCTCTGAACAGGATTCGGTTGTTGAACCACAAATGTTCCTGCTCCACCTCCCATCTGGATTCCGGCTCACCGAACAGCGGGATCTTCCTCTTCCAAAGGATTTGCAGAAACGCCTTCCACCTTTCCCCTCCTCCTTTCCATTGCTTGGCTATGTCCTTATGTGCCCACAGAGTCGCCCAACCCAGCGGCATCGATGCCGCCTGCTCCATCATCCATCGTTTTATATCACTTGATTCCGCTATGGCTTTGCTTAAACACTGCAGCGCCATACTGTCAATTCGGTCTCTCGGATTAATCACCCCCAGCCCTCCGTCTCTCCTTCTCCTGCATGTCAGGTCGTAACTCCATAGGACAAACCGGCGATCCAGTGACGCCTTCCCCCCGGAGACGAAATTGTGGCATATCCTCCGAATCCTCGTCCAGAAATCAATCGGCGGCGGATATATCTGCGCTTGGAATAGCAACACCGGCATCACATATGAGTTGATCACCGCTACTCTGGCCGAAGTCGTGAGGTGCTGTGCCTCCCATCTGCCGAGCGAGCCACTCACCCGCTCAAATGGCTTGTCCCAAGACGGGCCCGCTTCACCGTTCGGGGTAATCCATACCCCCAGCAGCCTCTCAGGACGACCCGGTTCTGCTACCTTGAACTGCGTCGTTCCTTGATATCTCCTTCGATTTCTCCCCAGCGGCATCAACACTGTTTTCTCCTCGTTGATGTGCAGGCCTGACACCTTCCCGAAGTCTCTCAGCACCTCCTCCGCTTTCGTCACCTGCCCAGGACCCTTCAGCACCAGTGTAGTGTCATCCGCGTACCCCAGGTACGCCAGCTCTCCTTTTCCGCGCTTTCTGACACCCAGCATTCTCTTTTTAATCTCCTGGCATAATGGCTCCACTGCGCATATGAACAGATACGGCGCCAGCGGGCAGCCTTGCCTCACCCCGACTTCGACCCCCAGCCGCTCGCCGAGCCAACCGTTGATTAACAACCTGGTTCCAGCTTCATTGTGAAGGCCCTCCGCCCATCCGACAAAAGTCTCAGGGAAGCCCATCCCCCTCAACGTGCTGAAGAGATATCTCCGCGACACTGAATCATACGCCTTTTGAAAATCGACCAACAGAAGGTACCAGTCCTCTTTCCCCACCGCTGCCGCATCAATAACATCTGCAACTGCAGCTACCACATCCGACAGCTTTCGTCCCGGTACGAACCCATGTTGATCTTCGGAAATCACCTTCGTCAACACCCTTTTCATCCTGTTAGCCAGCACCTTCGCAACAATCTTGTACACGGTGTTTAGCAGTGTGATTGGCCTGTAGTTCCCCAAATCCTCCCTCTCTCCTTTTTTATGCAGCAGGATGGTTACCGCCGTCGTAAGACTCTCTGGGAGCACCCCCGACTGCTCAAAAGAGCGGACAAACTGCATCAGGCCAGGCCCTGGCAGATCCCTGTTCTCCACAAAGAGTTCCCTTGGTAGACCGTCTTGTCCAGGTGTTTTTCCCTTGGGCAACTCCGCAACCGCCCTTTTGACCTCTTCCTCCGTCCATTTTGCCTGCAGCAATTCGCGGTCACACTCATCCAGTCGCTTGCTCTTCTCGGCCAGCCAGTCCTCCCTTGACACCTCTCCGGCTCTACCGAACAGATCTCTGAAGAAGTCCGATGCTGTTGCCAGGATCTCCTTCGCCTCCTTAACTTCCTTGCCTCCCACCAGCAAAGCTGAGATTTCTGTCCTTGCCTTCCGCATCGCTATCTTCCCCGACAGAAGTTTTGACGCCGTTTCTCCCTCTAATTCCCCTTGTATCCCTGCCAGTGTCTGCAGCCAGTCACGTTTCCCGTCCCAGTACGCCTTCAATTGCGCTTCACACGTAGCCAGTTCCTCTTGCAGCCGCGTATCTCCCGCGTCACTCATGAAGGCCTGCTTCAGCACTGCAGCCTTTTCCTCCAGGTGTGCGACCGTGCGAGCAACCCTCTTCTGCTCTCCTTTTGCATACTCCTTCAGCTCTGTTTGTAGTTTCCTCAGCGTCTTAACAAACTCCGCACCAGTTCCCTCCTCCTGCTGCTGCATAATCATTCGTGTAATTTTCCTCACTCCTTGACTACTTGCCATCGTTGCAGGCAACCTCCATAAGCCAGGTCCCCTCGCTTTGTCTGCGAACGACGTCAGCTTCACCGAAATTGCGAACCAGTGATCCGTGATCCCCCTCGGGACGTACATATGGAACGCACCACCAAGGAAGCTCATCATTGAAGCCGAGATTAAGGCGCGATCTATCCTTGAGCTCTCCTTTGCCGACCGCGAATAGAAGGTATACTCTTTTTTTACTGGATGAAGTGCACGGAAGGCGTCATGTAGATCCAGACTGGCACATCCGTTCACCATCCTCTGATTTTCCACGACTGTCCCAATTTTTTATGTTTTATCAAGCTCTGGGTCCTCCACCAGATTGAAATCTCCCATGATATGCCGTGTGTGACATCGCAGGTAAGCAGCTGAGGAAGGGGAAGAGGCAGTCCCTGAAGAAAACACTTCGTGCTCCCGCCTGCGCCGGAAGGTAGACCGCGACAAGGCGCCATTCCAGCTCCTTCCATTTCAACACAACGCTTAACAGCCTTCCTGATGCATGTTTGGCCTCCTCCGTCATCTGGACTTCTGGTGAGAAAGTCAGCACCGCCACTCCTCCTGCCTTTTGGGTCGGCGAAACCGCAGCCACTGCTGTAGGTCTTATCTGAGTCCAAAAATTGTGGTCCTCCCCGATTCTTGTATCTGACAGCACCACCACAGCTGCTGCCTTCCTTAGCCATCTTAAGCACTTGTTCCTTTTCCCCGCGCTGCTTAAACCGTTGACATTGAGCGCGCTCATCTTAAGCGTGTTGGATGTATTCATTTAACCACTGACTGAAGACCCCACAGCATCCACGGGTCATAAGAGCGTGTTGATAAGAGCGCACAACAAAATACTGCAACTACCACTGATACTGTCACCGAAGCACTGGAGACTGCAAGCTCAACGAGCCTTATTCCTGGATCCTCTCCAACACCCCCCGTCCATGTCTCCGTTTCCCCCCCTCTTCTGCAGTGGGTCACTTGAGAAACTCCTTCTTCAGAGCCGCGACGCCGAGAGCACCCTTGCTCGCACGAGTGGCAGCACCTGCCTTGGTACGGTTGGTCTTGTGGCGGAAGGACGCGACATGGGCCGCAACAATTTCGAAGCTGGAGCCGTGTGCCTTCTCGCAGGCATCCTGGACACACACCCAGTCCTCTCGAGATCCCCCAGTCGACACCAATACCACCGCGAGATCCTTCAGAACGGCTTTCAGACGGTCTGTAACTATCAGAGAGGCCGCTGCGTGTAGGCGGGTAAAGAGGTGAGTCAGTAGGGTAAAAAGGAATAAGAATCGGAGAAGGAGCGTGAACAGAAAGGCATGAGCTGCTTGCAGTACCGTTTATCTCATGAATACGCTTAACCGTGAGGTTCCATTTAGCAATGTTGGCCTGACGGTCAGTGACGTATTCGTCGTGGTAGCGCGTCAAATGATGTCCATTGCAGAAGTCGCAAGCAGTAGACGGGAAGTGCAGGAGAAGCTTCCTCCCGCGCTTGGATGGCTCCTCGATGAAATGACGCCAGCGGTAATGGTCATTATCATGCTGAACCAGAAAACTGCGAATCTTGTCAGTGTCAAGCCCCGTAACATGGTCCTGGACGCGGTGGAAGCCGAAACCCTCCTTGTACGCCGTTTCCCCCCTTTTTATTAGCTTCACCTCCACCAGCAGACTGCAGACAACATCTGGAGTGACCTCCGCGGACACCCCCTTCAGCACCACCTCTATCGCCTGCGGATGAAGCGCTTGCAGCTGGATGTACGTAGCGTCTTCCGGGAACTGCCACCTCAACTCCAGCGTTTCACCCTTGAGTGTGACATGCTCAACCTTCCGCTGCCTGACGTAGTACGCGTCATCCTCCGAGGTGAAGACAACTTGCAGACGGCCAAAATGCGTCTTGGACAGGTACATCGGGGTCAACTTCTGGAACTTCGTAGTAGTCTGAGCTTCCTTAGAGATATCATCCTTCCAGTGATCGAGGTGAGCCGCAACTGAATCAGCTGTCCTAGGCACTTCTGACTCATGCCTGAAAGGAACAAGTAGCGTCAGCGTATGTTTCAGCTTAGAAGCAACAATACTCAATGACTCAGGGTCCGCTCCTTCATCTGGGTCATCACTGAGATAACCCTCGTCCTCGTCCTCCATGACAGGTTCATCAGGAAGCTCATCTTCGTGGGATCGTGAAGAGGAGGCCAGCCGCGGAGAGTGAACAGCAGCCTCATCGTCGACTGGCAGCTTTCCTTTGTCATCCTTGAGGCCATTGACCTTGAGCGCTGACAGACGCTCAAGCAGCGAAGGCTGGGACGAATTCCCCACCAACGGCTCAGAACACTCCGTAGCAGGCTGCCGAGGCGTGAGCAACACGTCATCAGCAGGCTCCTTCGGACGAGGGGAAGTCTCCGTGGCCTTTTGCGAGTCAGACAGCTCCAGGTTACTCTTGGGAACAACCTTCGTCAGCTTCTTAGGAGGCATACTGGAAATCTGGAGACAGCTGAAAGCTGAGTAGCAAAAAACACGCTTGCCTTGCAGCCAACGGTTAGAGTTGTGAATCCTTTTGCGTTTTATGACGTTTTTTATAGGACTTGAAAAAGCCATGGTAAAACCGAGCCTTGGCAATGACGCGCGCCTTGAGAAGAGCTCGATCCTTGCTGATAAGTTTCTGCTTACGGTACTCCTTCGCTTTGAGGTGCTCCTTGGAAACCCAATGGTACAATGTGCTTTCCCTTGAAGTTGGCTGGACCACAGGTAACATAGAGAGTTTGTAAGCATGATAAATGTTCACTGTATGAACACGAAAAAGGTATCTGCTTATAGAACTCCGAGAGAGATAACCAGTGGTCAACTTAGGCCCAGTTCGGCAGCCACGGAAGAAGGACGGAAGAAAAATTTTGCCTTCTTCGAAGCTTCGAATCGCATTATCGAGGGCAAAACAGTGCGGACTGTAGGGTAAAACTTTCAGAAATCGAAGCGCAGGTGTTTAACAGCAGCGATGCGAACCCCACCGAAAATTGATTCCGCGCCGTCTTCTGTCCTTATTCTCCCCCCCTTGGCGGAAAGTTTCCGCCCTAGCGAGATGGAAGAAGAAAATGATTCTTCTCCAAAACAAGAATAAAAAATTATGATTCCACAAGATTCACTGTTCACGGGACAAAAACAGCACATAGATGGGATGGGTTATCCAAACAAACCAGCATTCTCCAATAGCGTGGGGTCCTGTCCCCCTTTTTTGTTTGGGGCGAGCCCGCTACAGTGCCCTGGGACATTCGAATGTCCAGGCAAATGTGCCTAGACATGCGGTGCTGTTTCCCAACCTCCCCCTCCAACCTGCACCAGCTCCCCCATGGCGCAGGTTGTCCGCGGAGCGGTCAAACCAGGGTCAAAATTCGTTGACCCGGCTTTGACACGCGCCTCACCTTCCCCTCATCTTCCTAAAATTTTGCTTCCCCCTGGCTGCCGAACTGGGCCGTAGAACTTCCATCAGGCAAGAAATTGTACGACATTGAGAGCTCCGAAGTTGCCTGGACAGTATCCATGGCGGTCAGGTCTTGCTAGTGCTTTCGGAAATCCCTGTATTCGAAAACGTGACACATGGTCGATGGGTTGTGTGATGAGTCAAACACGCCCTAATTAGGAAGGATGGTTTTTGGTAAAACCAGGAGGGAGTTTGTTGGCACGAGAGTTTGAAAAGATGTTACGTGTACACGCTGAGCGGCGGCTACGAAAACGACAGCCATGGTTTGGTTTGGGTTTGGTTGGAAAGAAACTACATCCTCCTGGGTTAGTAACGGCGGCAGCCATGAGAGGGAGTGAGTACATCCTCCTGGGTTTTAGTTTTTTCTGCCCGGGGCAGCATGTCGTCAGGTCGTCAGAGGATCGTCAGGCTTGACGACCCGATTCCGCCGAGATATTCCTCCCTTCATTACACATCACATTCACTTCAACCACCAGCACATGGGGAGAGACGTGTAGTTAGACTGGCAAGAGCATCAACCGAATCACTCACCCTGCGCGCGCGCCTCGTTTCCAGTTTGCTCCTCTCATCGGCTTTTTGACAGGAGAGTAACGGCACGCGACGCCCACACCACCCATTCCGACGAATTAGAGAGAAGCGTCGAAACGCTTTCATGTACAGCACATCAGGCTGCACAGCTCAAAACACCTAACCTCGTATTCTCCTAGCTTATTTTAGGACCACACAGCGTACTCGCAACCGCGTCGCCTTGCATCGCGTTCCGCCCTGCGGCCTGTCACAGTCCTGCAGTCACTTCAAGCGTAGTAGCGTTCCGCCCTGTGGCCTGCCACTTCAAGCGTAGTGGCGGACGGCACGGTACATCGCGTAGTTACGTTCGCTCACGCGACACTAATAGCGGATTACTCTCACGTGACGCTTCGTTTGTTCTGAGTAGCTCGCAGTACTTAATTCACGCCGTAGCGTTCTCATGCGTGCTCTCACGCGGTGCGCAAACGCAGCTCTCTCCCGTAGCTCCAATTCGTGCGTCCCTTCTTCACGAATCACACGGTGGAAATGATTTTGCTGCTAACGCTCATTCGCTAACGCGCATTCGCTAACACGTATTCGCTAATGCGCATCTGCTAATGACGCATTTGCTAACGGGCATTTGTTGGTGACGCGTTCTCGTACCGCACACAAACACCACAGCCCCGGACATATTAGCTCGAGTTCCCGAGAGTGCTCTATTTATACGCTTCGTGGAACAAAGTCGATTAATTCACCGACTGTCTAACCACCCGGCGACGACCACTAAGTCGGCCTTTTAATCACCACCACGGCTCGGTCAACTTGGTCGGGACACATGGGGTAGTTAATTTAACGAAGCTCGCTTCCACCGGATTTGAAGCTCGCATGATGTTTTCGCCAGCGTCGTTGCCGCTGTCGGTTTCGTGGTGAACCTGTTCCGAACAAGTAGCGAGTACGTAGCCACCGCCGTCGTTGCCGTCGCCGTCGCCGTCGTCGCCGTCGTAGCCACCGCCGTCGTTGCCGTCGTCGGCCGTCGTTTCCGTCGTCGGCCGTCGTTGCCATCGTCCGCTGTCGTAAACATTCCAGGCTTCGGCGTCGCCCGCACGCCACGCCTTTGACCAAGCGAATTCCCACATTTCCGCAATAGTACGCGGCGCGACGACGACTGAGTTCATACTAGGCCGGAAATAGTGTCCGTATTCGTCCGCTCCCAGGTTCGCATTAGTTGCTGTCTATAGTTAAAGCGAACCGGCAGATAATTAAGCAGCAGTTAGTACAGGTAGCCAAGCGGCGGCCATGGGGAACGCGGGAACATCAACATCCCGCCAATATGCTCGGCGCGCATCTCTCCTTCCACGCCGCCACGTGTCACCTGCCTCCCTCATTCCCTCCCACCTCTCCTTCCTCCCGCCCCTCCTCCTCCTCCTCTCCCTCCTCCCGCCGTCGTCTCTCATCAACCCGGCAGCAGCAGCGCCAGGTACGTGTGAGGATTGGAGAGTTGTGTGTGTGGGGGGGGTGATGGTGTGGTGTGTGTGTGTGGAAGAGGGGGGTGTGTGATGGAGGTGTTTGTGGGGGATTTGTGTGTGGGGGAGATGTGTGAGTGTGTTTGTGCGCGTGCGCGCGCACGCGTGTGTGTGTTTGCACACACACACACACACAGTCACGTGCTTGGGGTTGAAATTCCAGACCTCTTCTCTCCCCACCCTCTGCCCCACCACACAGCAGCGGGTTGCCCCGTAAGCACCTCCGCTCTCTTCGTGCATTCCAAGGGCACCCTTTCGAATCCTGAGTCGACTCAGAATCCATCTTCCATCGTGCCTCTCCTCCTCCCGGTCTCCCTTCCCCTCCCTTCCCTTCCCCTCTGCCCCACCACGCAGCAGCGGGTTGCCCCCTAAGCACCTCCGCCTTCTTCGTGCATTCCAAGAGCGTCCGCTTGTTCATTAAGTCGACCCATAAATCACCTCCTCTTTCCTCCTTCCTCTCCCTCCCTCCCCTCTCCCC